AACCATGTTTCCTGTTTTCTGTACTATGCCATAAGGGATGGTCACAGCCTTGAGAGAAAAGATCTCAAGGAAGAGCATCTAGAATCTTATTAAAGTAATAATCCTACCAGTTCCCTTCACGTAGACAAAAGCTGGCAAAATATTTACCAGGCTTCCACATGTACCGAAAAATGGGCACTGTGCCCTTGGCAGCAGCACGGTAGATCCGTCTCTTGACAGATATACCAGAACCCAAATTGGAAACGTACTGAAGTTGGAAAGTCAGAGGCAGCACAGCAAATAACAGATACAGACACATGATTTGTGTAACTGCAAATCTATCTCAGTCTAAAAATGCAGGAAAAAGTCCAGATAATTGGGCAAAATCATGAGAACATTTAACATCCCAGCGGTAGCTAATTTAATGACTACAAAGAGGTATTTGGTTAAGATTTTTACATTTGGGATCTAAAATCATGAGTATCTAGGAATATGTTTAAGTATTCAAGACTACGTATCTTTATAATTATTACAGAAATTGCAATAAGGGAAAGCCTGCCCTGCCAGCTCTTCTCTCCATCTCCACCTCCAGGTTTTATTCTAAGCATTACAAACCTTGAAGCAGCTTCAAAGCCACATTTTATTAAATTGAAAAAATTGCAAAGGCTTTATTTTCTGGTTTTTATAAGACCAGAAGCCTTTTTTTCCCCTACCCTTCAGTAAACAGTACTTGACCACTCCACTTGCTCTATTCAGTCATGAATGACAGCAGCTTTTTAACACCTAAACACATTATTTTAAAGTTTTCCAAGTCATCTTTTGAGGTATGGAAAAAAAAATACCCTTGGACATGTTAGAGGCTTTAATGGAGCTCAGCTGTTTTGGTAACTGCAGTCGCTGACCTGCGGGGTTAAAGAAAAATGGAAAACATCTCGATGCTTTCAAAATTTTATTTTAAAACTTCTTATTTCACCAGAATGTCCTCTGCTGTTCTTTGCAAACACCTCCACAGCATTTTACAACTTGGAGAGAAAGGGCACGAGCGAGAAGTCAGACATTCAGCGAGCTGCTGCCAAGGCATGGGTCTCCTCCTGCCTTGGGGTGTGTTGTGCGAGATGTTTTAGAAGATAAACTTTCCAATGGAAAAATTATTTTGTATCAAAACTTCACACTGGCTAATTTCTTAATTTTAAAATATTGGAAAAAGGCAACATCCGGGTTGCCCCTGCAGTGCCCATGTGAAGCAAGCGGCGTTCCCGCTGGGGCAAGGAGTGCTCGTGGCAAGGGGAGGAGATGCTGAAAGGTGCTTTTTCCTCTTTTACCAAGACCAGGTGCATTTGGCCATCACCTCTTCAGGTGTCTGAGTATAAAACCCAGTTGTGTTGTAAATATACTTCTGGAGTAGCACAGGTTGTGCCTCCAGATACCGGAACAGACAGCAGCGAGCTTGCTCAGATGGTAAAAGCAAGGAATGCTCTTGCAGCAGGCGATTATTTTAATACAGGGTTTTGCTTCTCACATTTGCGTTGATACTGGTGTGGTGGCTCTGGGATGGAAGCCAGTGGCCACAAACGGCTGAGGGAAAAGGATGCTGCTCCCAAGGGACTGGCAGCAGCGCGATATTCCGGCTGTCACTCCAGTGCTACCGATACGCTCCAGCATCAGAGCTCGGAAATCAATAACTGTCTAGTGATGGAGTTCTCAGCTGAGGAGATTGAGTCACTTTCTGGGAAGAAATCCAAACAAAGTTTAAAACGTGTTTGGTTTGTTGTATTTTTTGTTTTTCTCAATAGTGCTGTAAAAAAAGCACAGAGCAAGAGAAGAGTGAAATCGGAAGATGGAATAGCACAAATGCACCACACAGCAACAAAAAAAATTGATGTACTCGCATCCCTCTAAGTTTCCCAAACAGTTGTTGCAATAATTTTGCAGTTCAGTTGAGCTTCACATTATTCATCTCCAGCTACAATAAAATTCCTGATGCCTTATCTGACTTCCCTCACCCAGTCCAAAAGGCATAAAACAAATCCCTGTTTCCATCACCACTCAGAATGCTGGCTGCAATGCTACCAGAAAAAAAATAAAAATCAATCTCATTCTAAGTATTCTATAGTATATTTATAATAATTTAAATTATAATCTATCTATCTTATAAGAGGTCGAGGCAACATTGGTATTGCATGTGATCCTGCAGTGCTGCATGTACATCTGCCTTGCCTGGAGATTTATCGACTCCTTTTGGGGCCAAGTGGAGCTTGAGGACCTTGTATCTCAGATGCCAAGCAGCAGTGCGATCAGACATGGAAAATGGAAAATAAAAAGGATGTGAAAGCTTTGTGTGATACATCAGGGTGTACCGCAAAAGTGGCATCCAAGGAAAAACACAAATATTGGCACACCTGCCAGCCAGCCACCCTGCTGAATCACCTGCCCAGCTGCCAATTGGGGGTTTTTTTTAGATAAAAACTAAACATGGAACTTTTAAAACCAGAACAGAAAATAATTGGCAGTGGTTTCACCTTCAATTTCCCCAGCTGCTGCTGAGCACACTGACCTGCCAGCAGCTGGGAGTGAGCCTGTGGAGCCTGGAGACAGCATCCCTCCGGAGATGGCATCTCATGGGAGACAGAATCTGTCCAGAGCTGGGGGCAAACCAACAAACCACCTCGTGATTTTTCTTTTTCCATATGTAACAATGTGTTTGTGTAACAGGAAAAAAATAAATGTATAGAAAATATTTGCAAATAAAAGCTTTGATTTTATATTTTTACATATTTGGTTGCTTAAACTAACTTGTGCATAACCAGAAGAGAAATACTCACATATTCTACCTTTAAAAATCCAAGGCTATATGTAATTTTATATAGCAAAGGATTCCAAGGGTCTCTGCTGTCCATCTGATTCATAATTAATTACTCCAATTTTTCTGTTTCCTGAGTCTGAGTCTGTGCTAGTGGGGTCCAAGTGGGTAAGGTGCTGATCGGGAAAATTTTTCTCTGAGTTGGATTAAACCGATCTCTTCTGTCTCAAATAATGAGGTGTGTCACATCAAACTACAATTTTTGTTCCAAGTTATATGATACTATTTTAGGTAGCTAGGAGGAAAAAAAAAAAAAAAAAGACACAGGGAATGGTACCGTCGGCAGAGAGAAGATTAACTTCAAGGTGACAGAGAAGAAAAAGGGAAATTATGGTCTGTCTCATTTACAGAGCAATTCCTCTGGCCTCAGGAGAGTTTCAGCTATTTGAGCTACAAAAATTTGAGCTGAGTCACTGAAAACTAAATATAATTCAGTAAGATGGCTCAGAAAGGAACTGGAGGCTATCCACTGCAGCTCTTAGTCGCTGTTATTTAGCGTTTTTTAAAGGTGCGCAGTTCATTTAAATTTGGTTCCCTCAAGTCTGCCAAAGGAGACCTGCTGACCAGCAGCTGAAAAGTTGTTCTCTCAAAGTTAGTACCAAGCCAAACAGGAATTCTTAAACATATATATTTAAAATATATTTCATAGGGGACAAGTGGCAGAGCTTTTTTACCTCCGTTTATTAAAAAATATCCTTAGGCTATAAGTACTTGGACTATGCTCTTTGGTTAATAGAGCTATTGGATTAATAAACTTGTAGAGGTGAATCAGTCTCAAAGTTTACCCAAAGTGCTATGGTTAAAATTTAACTGAAGTACGGGACAGAAGATGAGAGGGAGGTCCCTTGGTTCTTATTTTTTCAGGAGGACTGAAAACTTCCCTTTGCTCTCCAGTGCTTAAATTGCACACTGGGTGATTTCTGCTATATTACCTATGTTAAGTATCTATATGAAGCATGTAAGTTATTTATTAATAAAATGTATAAATTCTTAAAGGCAATGACATCAGAGGTGTTGTTAGAGTCCCATATTCGTTTGAAAAAAATAAACAAGACCATATCTTACAAAAGACCAGTTTCAATCTCAGAACTGACATACATCGATTCCAAATGTGATTCCTGCTTGAAAGTTCTGAATCAAGAAATCAGAACACTAGAACAATTAGGGTATAATATCACTGGGTTACAGAACAGGTATTTTCTCCCCCCCCCAAGAAATTCTTTTCCATTTCAAATTCGTAAAACTTTCATCTCTCAGTGTCTTTACAGGACAAACTGGTCAAGCTTCAGGAAAAGAGCTCACCAGAGTTATTTACAGGTTAATTAAAAAAAAAAAAAATTCTGGATGATCCCAAAGCATGGGTTCAGTATAACATGGAACAATGACATTCTAGTTAATAGAAATAAAAACTAATGGAATCTATTTGACTTTATCATGACATGTATAGAGTTATTGCATGACAACATATGGAATTTAATTAAGGATTATAGCTCTTCCTTAGCAAATAACCTATTGACAGTAGATAGAACCTCCTCACTCACCCTAAAGCAAAGACCAACCCAGTCTTTTCATGAAAAGCATAAATAAGAGGTCTCCAAAGAGAGAGTTGGGTAGCTGTAAAACAAGCTGGGAATTTGGACAGTGAAGGAACATTTTATTAATCTCTACCGTAGCAAATCAGATACAGACTTGACAAAAATTCTTTCCAGCCTGGTTGTCAGAGAAAAAAGCAAAAACAGGCCAGAAGATGTTGTCAGGGAGTAAAAAAATCTCCCAGACAGCAGTAAAGTGAGCGGGGAACCTGCAGACATCAGGCTCGTGAAGACGTCTCCAGACCCGCAATCTGAAAGCTAAAAGAGTCGAGGAGGCAATCGTAAATCATCCGCCAACGATTCCTCCTGGCCTTTGCCGGGCTGGTTTTCTTGTAGCTATAGCAACACCTTTTCCCCAGACCAAAGTTCAATTCTTTTACATTTTTATGACCACTGCTGCTTGCGTCAAGTTTACCAGGGTAACTTTTGGGTGGCACAGAGAGCAGAGCCCAGCCAGCGAGGAGGAAGAAACGACCTCATGGTAAGAAGGACTAAAAAGAAGAAAATAATCTGAGCGCCTAAAGGGAAGAAAATATCCTGGAACCGGTGGAAAATCTTTGGCTGACAAAATGCCATCCAGAAAAAAAACCGTCATGTTTGCGTCCGCCTTTTTTACCTGCGTTTGCTCTTTTGCGCTGATTTGCGTTGTTCTGGCGACGCAGCACTGGATGAGCAGCGAGGTTCACTTCTCCGACACGAATTCCAACGCTACCGTGAGCCTCACTTACGGCCTTTTTAGTGGGACCTGTACACGGGTTGCTGGAGGAATTCAGGTGGAAGGAAAGGATTTCCAAGGTGAGTGGTGTTACGCCTGGGAATGGATGGCATCTTCTTGCTCGTGCGGGTGACGGATGTAGGAACTGTGTGTTCTTCTTTTATTCATCTGTGACTATAATACTTTCAGTGAAAACAAGAATATCTGTAAATCAGGCTGGGGATTTAAACGGTATAAAATTTTAAGACCCCCAAAAAGCACAGAAATGCTGCAGCAATCTATAATACTTTCAGTGAAAACAAGAATATCTGTAAGCCAGGCTGGGGATTTAAACGCTATAAAATTTTAAGACCACCAAAAAGCACAGAAATGCTGCAGCAATCTTGCCAATAGCAACTTTTTCTAATTACCTGCGATCTTAGCCTACACCTGGGAGCAAGGAAAAAATAGAAAATAGGAACTTTTGTACAAAATTGATTTTAATTTTCAGAAGCTTTCAGGTAGGGACAGAAAAGCAACGCTCAATTACCATTTTGTTAAAGGATTGTAAATCTAATTCGGCTTCCAGGATTGTTCTTTTTAATTTTGTAAGGTTAAATTAATGGATTTAAAACATTTTTCCACCTACTATCAAATTAGCATCATTTCTGAAGAAGGTTTTATGACGCTGCTGAAGAGAAAAGAACAAAACATGTAGAACAATAATTTAGGCAATACATGTTTATATGTGTGCTGGACCTACACATTAATGGCAGTATTCCTTTTATTTCTTCCTTTAAAAGCACGCCGTTCCATTTTTAAGTGCTATTATCAATCATTTGGTTAGTATTTCAAACCTGATGCTTGCTCATCTCTTTTTTTTTTTTTTATGCCAGACTGGGAAGTACAGATTACAACATGGCTTGTCATCTTTTATAAAGTCCTTCGTCCCCCACCCAATGCGTGGTTTTCAGGTGACTCCTCGTCATCGTGACTTTCCAAAAAAAAACTCTGAAATGAGCTTTAGAAAAAAAGGTTATTAGAATAACATTTCAGTAAAGAGCCAGTAGAAATTAAACTGTATCTTATGCTGATACACAACAGATCCCACCGTTTGTGCATCTTCAGTTCTTGGTGCTTATCCTCAATGGTAGAATTATTATAGAAAAAAACCGAACAAAAATGGTTAAATAATTAAGGAGGACAGAAGTGAGAGATAAGGGAGGAGGGATGCTACATGGGAATAAAATAAAGTTAAAAAAAATAAGGGGAAGAGCAGAAGGGGTTTTACCTAGAGCAACCTTGTAGACAAGCATGAAAAATCCTAGCAGGAGAAGGAAAACATGAGAAAAAGCAAAACAAACAAGAAATTATTCATACCACGTACGAACCACCAACTCAATACTGATTTCACACAGTTCAGCAAAGATTTACGCAACTCTATGCACAAGTAGCTCTACTGATGTGAAGAAAAGCATTTGCAAAGGAAGATTTGGAAGAGTAGGTCAAACAATTTTGAAACATGAGATGTACTTTAAGAAATTTTTTTTAATTTTTTGGTAGGCTGCTGTAAGATGTCCCATTCGCAGAGAAGCCACCAAGGTAGAGCTCAGCAGTCCTAAACCTCCAGATGGTTCTCATCTCCTAGCTCTTTCCCAGCTTCATTTAATACAGAGATTTTATCTGTACAGACACCCAAATTCCCCCAGTGGCAGAGCTAGAACATATTGCAACGAAAAACCTGAACCTAGGGATACAGACAGCACATACTGGGATCATTACAGAACAAATGCAAAATCACAAGTCATCCAAACCAGTTTATTTACAGTCGTATCAAAGTCATTTTTAGAAAATAACATATGCATTTATAAAAATAGTTTCTATGCAGTTATATCTCCCCACGCCAGCTGGGCTCAAGCCCCAAACCTTGCGCCATTTGGACGGACTCTTGCTGATTTCAATAGGGCTCCGTGTGAAAGCAGGAATCCACCCGTGGAGAGCCGATTGCAGGGCAAGGATGGAGTCTGGCAGGAATTCGGGGCATGTATCCTGCTTTGTCTGGGCAGCAGCTAACACAGCCCAATCTCAGGGTCTGGGCACTACCCTCAGATAGATTTTAATTACAATTAATGACAAGCACTCACAGAACACTTGCATCAATACAGGATTTTGGTTCTTTGCACAGTCTATGCGCATATCGTGGTGGTTTTCCCCCCACCAGATTTAGGGTTTTGTACTTACCATTTACAAACCGTTACCTCGGTTCTCACCTATCAGCCATTTAGGGATGAATAAGACAAGTGAGGTTCAGGAGTTGCTGGTTGCTTTCAACAGCTGCTGAAAGAAAAACGTGCTGTAGGAGTAGTCTGAAGATGGATTTGCCCACATCCCTCACTAGTTCAGTTGGGCATATATCAGAGATTAAATTAACCAATTTTAAATTAATTCTTAGGCTCCATACCAGGCATAATTGTCACATTTTGTGTTAAGTATGATTCTGTACATTCTTGAAACAGGAAAAATGCAGAATTGCATCCATACTATTTTAAAATTCAAATAGTCGGGTCCTCCTAAGAGAGTAGATGCCTTTCATTTGATGAAATCCTTAAGTGCATGGATTGCCCATGCAATGGAGCAATGAAGTGCTGTGCTTTCTCCACCCTCACATTTCAGACACCACTAAGGAGAGTTGTCAGCATCCTTTTAAATCCCAGCACAAAGTGCTGCTCAGCAAGCGTGGCCTGGCTGTGAGAAATGGAGAACTGAAATTATGAAAGGGTAAATCAAAGATGATAGATTAGAGATATAGATATATTTTTTTAAATGGACAATTCATTATGTGTCGTATGCGATCATAGACCTTGTAAAAGCTGCCAGATCAGCACTGCTTAGAAGAGACCCCAGGCTGGCGGCTGGGTGTCATTGGATGTCATTCATAGTCAGGGCAGTAAAAGTTTGGGAAATTCTATCCAACAAGAAAAAAAAAAATAGATACAGGAAATTAAGAAGAGACCTGGCAAAGGCAAACCCATCTGCTTTCATTCGGGAATTAGGTTATTTTACGCTGATGCAGAGGTTATCCAGCTGTAGGTTACTATCGATCTCATTCAAGTAGATCAGCTACTGCAGATTCCTTCAGTTTGCACTGACTCCTTTTGAAAAAAAGAAAAAAAATCTGCTGCCACAAAACCAGTATTTCATTTAAAACCTTTAGTCTTGTGCTGTTGCAGGCATGCTTACAACAGGTGGAGTCTGACAAAATTACATCCCCTAAACTGCAGAGCACTGTCAGAGATTAACTTCTTCCAGGAATATTATGTAAAATGAGAGAGAAACTCTTCTTTTATTTCCAATAGCTCTTCTTTGTGTTATGAGTGTTTATTTTCTTTCTATTTTTTTTTTTTCCTATTTTTTCTGCTGATTTCTCCAATTTATGCACTAACAGAATACTTTGCAGTAATGGCTTTGTATTAAAAGCAGCACAGAAAGGAAGTTTTCCTACAGATGGCTGTCTATCACAACACCCATTTAACAGAGCTTGAAAACATTGTTGTCGTGTTTGTTATAGGGTAAGGCAGCCACAGGCACATTGTAGTTGCCTTTTCAATCTTTAAATTGAAAGGAGGAAAATACTATAGTTCAAAGCAGCTATGCTGCAATTACACTTCGAGTGTATTGCAGTCGCATTGGTGTCTCTTATTATCCGCAACGCATCAAATAACTGGAAGGATTTAGGCAAAAACAATAAAATTGATTACAGTCCTGGAGGGGTGGGCTATTTGTGCCATGTATGTATAACCAGCCACACATATAGCTACAGAAACTACACCAGGCTACAAACTGTGTGAACAACTGTAGTAGGCTGGAGGAAAAAGGAGAGGTGCCAGGATGCTGGATGGTAAGATGCAGGACTCTGACACGTGGCCTCAGGAGTGGAGATCTGGAGCCTGAGGGCAGGACAAGGCTGGGACGTTGGTCCCCTTGCCCAGCCCAGGGCCACCAGCCATGACCACAAAGCACCCTCCATCCTTTTTTGTTTTTTTTCTACTGAGACAGATCTAGTTAGGATACAAGCCCCATCGTGCCTTATCTGTCCATGAATGACCATGCCAGACAAGCCCCATCTCACCCATGCCTTATCTGTCCATGAATGACCATGCCAAGTGACATTTGTCCTTCAAATGCACCTGACCCTTCCAGACTAGGGGCTTTACTGGACGTTAAGAAGCTGTTCCCCTTGTCAGATTTATTCCATATGAGGGGGACTGCTGTTACATTAAAAGGAATTCATCTACAACTGGAGATGAGTTTTAAATAGGCATTGCAGAAGCTTCCAGACATCTCAGTATTAAAAGGAATTAATCTACAACTGGAGCCGAGTTTTAAACAGGCATTGCAGAAGCTTCCAGACATCTCAGGAACAATGGGCAGAGCAAGACCTAGTTTTTTAACCTGATTTAGGCATAAAATGGCTGTCTGGCCACATGAAGAGTAAATATTTAGAGGATTATTGAGGAAGAGAAGTTTATTACCTCTGTCTGGCCACGTCAAGAGTAAATATTTACAGGATTATTGAGGAAGAGAAGTTTATTACCCTACCCAATGCCCGGGAAGTTGCGTGCCTGCAGGGTTAACAGACATTATTTCAGCCTAACACACCTTCACCCCAGTTTGGATTTGGGTTCCTGTGCTATGCCTAAACCTTCTACCCCCCAATCTCTGCAGATCTGGTTATTAGCTTTTAATTAGAGCGATGTCAGTAAGTCATAAGGTTGTCCGAGCCCACCAGGCTGTGCTGGGAAGGCTCATTATCAACACCGAGCCCCTGTATTTCAGTTTCCAAGACCCTGACGGACACCAAGACGAAAAGCATCATCACCACGGTTATTGTGATTCTGGTTCTTGGTTTACTGACCTCCCTACTGAGTTCCGGATTTACCTGCACTAATGCTGTCAGTAATCCCTACCAGACGTTTTTGGGACCCATCGGAGTGTACACCTGGAATGCTTTATGCGGTGAGTAATGCATCCCATAATGATCACTTTCTGCCCACCATACAGACGAATACTGTATTTTCATTGATTCCAAGATGAAGAAACTTATCTGTAAAAGGAAACAATTTGAAAATTATTCTCTTCAGCTGGTTTTGGTTTTTAACCATGCCTGCTGGGATACCCAAAAATTATCTTTTAAGTACCAGTAAAATAGGTTTTTTTTACTTTAAGAGGCACGATCGATTGGGAGGAGTCTGGATTCACTGGCGACAAAAATAGAAATGAAAGAGCCCCAACAGCTGTAGCATCATTTCATGCATGATGCATATTGAGAACAACAGAGTAAGCTGACAAATACAGAATGAAACTGTAACAAAAGGATGCACTGGATGTGCCATTTATAACCTCTTGAAGACCTTATGTCACTTTTTTATTATATTTGTAGTGTTTTGTTGCTGGGTTACCTACATATCAAATTAAGCATCCAAGGTCTGATCTATAAGTGAGAACTCTGGCTTCACTGATGACCTTTAAGGTCCCTTTCCAGTCTTAACCATTCTACGATTCATTTCCAAAAAATGGTGTTGAATGAAACACATCCACAAGATGGTGTGAAACCCACCCCTTTTTCTCCAGCTGTGGCTGGAGAAACACAACGAGAAAAGGAAGCAAAAGCCTAGGTTAGACAATTATTCAACTTTAGAGCCAAGCAGGTCACTGTGTCATCACATAAGAATGTTGTTTGTTTCCAAGCCCAGCAGCCTGAATCTGAAAGCTTTGGCCTGAAATGAAAGGACCATGGGCTTGCCAAAGTAAATATTGTCGAGAAAATAAACCCCCACCTTGACTGAGGATTTGTGGTTACTTTTTACAGTCCTTTAAGTGCTATGACCTGGAAGTCAATTTTGCTGTGGGCATATTTTTTAATGAAAACTCATGCTTCATTTGATGTCTGAGTGTATCTTGAAGATTCTTCATTCTCCTACCAGATGGTCAGAAAGTCCAGTGTCCTGAAAAAACCTGAACCTGTTTCAGCA